TCTGAAGTATCTAAATTCCCACCTGCCCAATGGCAGCCATGTCATTTTATATGGCTTGCCAGATGGCACATTTCTCTGGGATAATCTGCACAACAAATATCATCCTCTCGGTATTGGTTTGCAAATACTTTTTACTCTTCAACAATGTCAATGTATACATGGTCCGATGTACATATGATCAAAACCTTATAGGAAGATGCCTAAAATGCTAGTACAGAACGTGAGTTGGAACGGATGAAGGAGACGAGCCCTCCTGTGCAGCATCTGAGAGTCACTCTCCAAAGGTGGGCAGAGTCAGATTCAAAGCCAGAAAGGGCAGAAGCAGTTCATGAAGAATTAGGAAAAATTGAAAGATAACAGTTTAAATCAGGAAACTCTTTTGACAGAGGCAAAATGTAGGATGAACTGAAGAAGTTCAAACAGGAGACAGAAAGTCCTGAGTCAGAGAGGGATTTTTCCCAACTTCAGTGTGGGTGCCTTCATGTGCCTTCTAGTTTTCTAGAACTCTGTAGACCACAGACCTCTGGGCTGCTAACTCCCTATATCTACATCTCTCTTGCAGACTCTGAAAGACTTTAAAGTCCCTAGAAACTTGTAATGCAGCTTTACCACTCCAGATACTGTACGGACAATATGAAAGTGGTTATCATTCACATTAGGAAGAGCTGACATGCTGATCCTTTAAACAACCCTGTGAAGTAGATGTTTTTTACTAATGAATTCCATTTTATAGATGGAACAGGTAAGGCTCAGAGAGGTTAGGTAGCATAGCGCATTGAATACTAAGCTGGTGTTTCAGGGCTCTGCTTTCTATATTTCAGGGGAGAATGTCCTTTCAAAACTTGTCTATTAAGTGCCTTTATGTGCCAGGACACAGTTCTAGGTACTGAACAACCAGCAATGAATACAATAGTTCTAAATTCCTGCCTACATAAAGCTTATATTCCAAAGGGAAAAAGACTCCAAAAGCATGTTAAATAATGATAAGCACCGAAGGAGGAAAATTAAACAGGGAAGAGGGCTGGAGAGTGGTGGCCTCAATCCTCTCTGATGAGCATCTACAAGGAGAGGCCTGGGTTCCCTCCCCTCAGCCCTGAATTGATAGCACCCGGGTCCAGCAATAGTGAGAAAGGGGCTGTCCTTCCCCGTATTACCCTTCCTGCCTCCAAGACCAACCCAAGCTAAATTGTGCTGGAGATCTAAGCACTTTCTTCATGAGTCAGAGGAGCAACTGAGAGGGCCAAACCTGTAACACATTCCTCAGTGATTTACTGAGAGATCGAGGTGGAGAGTGAGATTTCACACTTGAGGCCATCAAGAGCTTGCCCTTGCATTTATGATTTTGGGTTATTTCCATTTTCCCTTGTCCTCCCACAGCTCCTGGTTAAGCCACCCTCCCCTCCCCTCCTCCTCTCCCAGGAAATTCTACCCCTGCTCACGTGAGAAAAGAGCAGGTGTCCTTTAGCCGGCTCTCAAAGGGCTCTAGAGTCTTCACTGGTGGAAAATGGTACCTCTCTGCGTTCTGACTTCCTGTCACTGAGGATGAAGTCACTTTCCTTTTGACATCCTGAAGTGCATCACACACGCTATTATCCAAGCAGAACACCTTCCCACTTCCCCTAAGGAAAGCATATAGTCTGCCTGTTCACACAATTTTGACCTCGCCCCTTAGAAACAACAGTGTGAACACACCCAGGAGAATTTTGTCCCACTTTGAGCTGCCTTGAAGGCCTTAAGGACAATCACGCAGGCTAAGAACATCTCTGAGCCAACAGATATGAAAATCGCAGTCTCTCCAGCAGATTCCATTAATGCTAAGAAATGCTTGGAGAAGGAAAGTTAGGGGAGGGGAAGTGTGCTCCCAATTTACTTCATCACACCAGAAGGGAACTGACTTTGGGTTTTCTGATTTCAAATCCCATTCTCTTTCCAAAAACTTCTGGTCAGATAACCTCCATAATTATTTGTTTGTTTGTTTATTTATTTATTTTGGGACCAGAAATTGAACTCAGGAGCCCTCAACCACTGAGCCACATCCCCAGCCCTATTTTGTATTTTATTTAGAAACAGGGTCTCACTGAGTTACTTAGCACTTCACTTTAGCTGAGGCTGGCTTTGAACTCACAATCCTCCTGCCTCAGTCTCCCGAACTGCTGGGATAAAAGTCGTGTACCCCCAAGCCCAGCCTCCATAAGTTCTTTCAGATACTCCATGATTCACATAATCTAACAATAGTAAATAATAATGACTCCCTACAATTTGGAAAGGAGTGATGGAAGAAAAAAATAATGATGGGGAGACTCATCGTTTACCTTTGCAGATTCTCTAAACTAGAGGTTCTCAACCAGAAACAGTCCCCCCAGCCCCACCTGATGTCACAATGCAGGATTGAGGGAAGATTGCTAGTAGCATCTAAGATGTAGACTTCAGGGATGTTGCTGAACATCCTGAAATATACAAGACAGCCCCCCACAACCAAGAATGTCAGTAGCACCAACAGTGAGAAATTTTAGCCTCTTTCTGGCCACTAGTCATGAGTGGCATCTCACCACCCAAAAGAGGAATAAGGAAAAAGTGAAACAAGTGTTTTCTATACAAACCCTAGTTTTGAAAAAAAAATCCAATTAGGGAAAAGGCTGAAATCATCTACAATTTGTTTAATATGTTTAAGTAATGATTCACGTCCCAAATTATCCCTGCTGCCTGGTTGCCATGGGAAATAAGTTATAAATTTCTCGAAGAAGCATCAGGGTCCTTCCTAGAAAGACTGGGGAGGTAGGTGAGATTCTTGCAGCCTTCCCAGTCCTCCTTTGGCAGGGCTCACAACTCACATAAGAGGAGAGCCTTGAAGGAAGGACTGTGACCCAGCTGTCCCTTTCTGCTACTCTCACTTCAAACTCAACCTCTGCATCTCCATTCTCCCTGGACATGAGCCAGCCTTGAAGCAGGGTTAAAGAGGAACCAGCCTCCAGCTTTGGTCACTCTCCATAACTGAGCAGATCGCATCCTCATCAACAGCCAAACACTGGAGCCCAACTCCTGGGGCACTGTGCCAAGACTTGTGCACCGCAAAAAACAGTGGTTGGGGGTGGGGTTCTAATAATTTCTATATCTGAGCCTAGAAGCATAGTGATGGGTCTCTGGACTTGACCTTAACCACCTCTTAAGGATTAGGAGAGTTTAGACAGCAGAGGGGTAGGGACAGAACCCCTGGTCAATGACACATTCTCTACTTCCCCCTTCCCCCTGGACAGGTCAGGCAGAACACAGCCTGAGCATTCTGCAAAGGTTAAATGCCACAGCATTGAGTAGCATGGGATGGAGGCTCAGATCAAGAGTGGGTTCCCATCTTCCTCCTGTCAGGAAGGAGGGAGTGATGGACTCCTCCTAGTGTCTCTCCTTTCCAGCCATGTTTGGGAGTCGCTGCCAGTCAATGACTAGCTGCCAAGAGTTGGGACAACCCCACGATCTCCACCAATAATTGAAATTCCTGGGGAGAACTCCTCATTGTCTTTGTGAGGAGTTGCCAGACAGCAAGTCACATATCAGGATTCTGCTTGCATAGAGCTTTTAAGAAAAGTCAAGCTTGACCAGTCATAAGTCCTCTCAGCTATAAGAGGAAGATAGTCATTCTAGAAATAGGTCTGAAGTACATGTCAAAAAGATGACATAAGATGGAGTCCTTGTCCTCAAATGAGTGAGAAAAAAACAGCTCCACTGGGGGAGACAGCGTGTAGATCCCGACAGTGACAAGCACCAGTGCCAAGGTCAGCATACACGCTATCGGCATTCTACAAGTTGTTCAGAAGGTTCGAGTGTGACTAAGATTCAGGGTCTGCTRTTTACCAAGAAGTCTGCAAGAAGCCTTCCCTGAAGGGCCTCTGCCATAAATCAGCAAGTCAGTCTTGCCCCCATTACTGCTCAACTTGAAACCAATGTCTTTTAAAATTCCTTGTAGTTTATACTACATTACCAGCTTTCGCCCAGTCTGAATTAATGTAGTTTAATACATTTAGATGGTATTTCATGGAGGTATGACTGATCTTCGCTGGTACCAAGCTTTTATAGTATCTAAGATTTCAATTATGTTCCCAGCATTAAATGAATATCAGATTCTGTCCTCAAGAACTTACAAATTACTGAGACACAAACTGCTCCTTCTAGCGAGCCAGAGTAGAACACTTCTTTTAATCTTCAGAGAGAACATATGGCAGCCATTGAGCCAGTTCACTGCTCCCTAACACATGCACATTTGCAGGCATGCGCGCACACACACATACACAGATAATTCCTGGACAATGTGACAGTCCCTCTAATCTTGCCCCTATTCCTGAGCATTCTTGCTCAGCTTTCTTAACTAGATTGACTATCTGATGAGGGAGTCACAGACAGAACCTCTTTCCATGTGCAATATATCATGGTCTCATCCCAAGGTACCTGGGACCTTGGGCTATAGGAGTAGGACAGCAGGGACAGGTGAGTACGATAGGTTGGAGCCAGGCTGTGACCGGAGCATTCAGTGGTTTGATCTCCAGTGTCCTCAGAACAGCACAAACTCCAGTCCCTCTGTTTTTCAAAGCTATCACGCTTAACGGAGCAGGTAGGGAGGGTCCAGGATCATTACTTGTGGTCAGGCATGAGATGCCACCTCCTTTTGGTATGGAGACACCTCAGCCACTGAGCAAAGAGATGCAGGCCATCCCTTATAACCAGGAATACATCAGGACCCAGCAAGGTGTCAGAGCCTTAGCAAAGCCACTTACAGTTCATCAGGAGGCCCCAGTCCCAAGATGGCAGAAGGTACCAAAGCAAAGGGCAGTCAGAAACAAGGCTGCTGCTCAGAGGCAGTTGCCCCAGGGGAAAAGTCATTGAGATGCAAAGAGAGGGCCAGGGTGGGAGTGGAAGCTGCAGGCCTCAGTCACTGCAGTGGGGCTGCACTGGGTTGAGACAGGCCAGAACACAGAGGAAGGGGCAAATTGCAAAAGGGACAAGGAAAGGAGAGGGCAAAGAAGCCTCAGTGGGTGAAAGCAGAGACTTGGGGAAAGATAGGAGCTCAGGGCTCCATGTTGGGCCAATGCGATGAAGCTAGTGGCTTGGGAGTCATTTAAATGTGAAGATGCAGAGCTCTGTGCTGAAGAGAGAGCTGGCGGGTCATTGTGACTTTAATAGCAGTAATAAGTCTATGGCTTTCTGGTCCTGAGATTCACTCACTCACACAGAGAATATATTTTTCCTCTATGACAAGCAAGTGGAATTTATCTTTCAGTCTAACTGATCCGAGGTATAAGTGAAAAATAAGGCTGTGTTCCATCACCTTCAATCTTTCTCTTCACTCAGAGATAGGGCCTATTATCGCCTTTGATTTTTTTCAAGAGTGTGAGAAGTGTTAATGGATACAGCATCCGTCATTCACCCCGAGAACTGGGGAGGGGGCGTAGAAAATTTTATGTGTCTGCCACAGCATGAAAGTTGATTGCCTAATGGGGGTGGGTAAGATGGAAGGAGGGAGAGAGGGGAGTATTGGAAGAGAAATATCCCGCCCCCCAGATTCTGGGTCTATGGCTGATGTTCAGAAAAGTTCTGGGTGGTCCCCAAATGACACTTTCCCTTCATTCTTATATACCCCTTTAGCCTGCACCCACAGATAAGCATAGGGTATATGTACTAATTAGAGCTCCAATAAGATACCCACCAGGAAAACCTCAATCCAGGGCCAGGAAGGGGACAATGTGTGCTGGCCTCCCCCATCCCACCCACATTGGGAGGCCTTCAGTCCGTCTTCAGGGCTCTCCATGGTCAGAGCTTCATATACTCAGAATGTTCTGCCAGACATCCCTGTTTTGTTTGTTTCTCTTTTGGATAGTAGTGTGTCCTCTACGTTGCTGTAGATTTAAACATTCTATTGCCTAAGTGTGTGTAAAATGTGCTGATAAACCAGAGTGCTACTTACAAAAAAAAAAAAAAAATGTTCTGCCAGGTCTTTAGCTTGGGACACTTGGGTCAGACCTGAGTGTTTCGTGAACTTGGGAAGGAGGAGTGAGTTAGCTCCCACCTGGAATGCTCCCTGTGCCCCACAGGAACTTGGCCTTTCATACCATTGCCAGGAGAAAGCTTCTGCTCTGCAGAGTGCTTCTGGAGTCTAGATAAGGCCAGCCATCCAGCCCTGTCCCTGCCCAGGCCAAGAGCTCTCCATGAGAAATAAACTCCTCAGAATCCCTTCCCCCAACCTGGAATCTCTAGGGGCTCAGAAAGAAGTAAAGCAAAGGAAAGGAATTTTTTTTTCTTCTTTTTTGGTACCAGGCATTGAACTCAGAAGCACTTTACCACTGAGCCACATCCCCAGTCCTTTCTTATATTTTATTTAGAGGCAAGTTCTCACTGAGTTGCTTAGGGCCTTGCCAAGTTTCTGAGGCTGGTTTTGAACTTTAGAGGCAGTGATAAATGACAAGTCAGGGAAAGTCCGGTTGGCAGTGTCGAGGCACCTATGAATGTCTCTAAGTGTTGCTATGTGTGAGTACACACAACATGCCCAACCTCTCTGTTTTCCAGGCCAGCTAAATAAAGATGTGACTTACGCACAGCTCTACTCCTTCCTGGGCTGCCTCCAGGTGAGCTCACTGACACTCGCTGCAAGGCCACATCACACATTCTCACTCACACACACAAACACGCGCGCACGCTCACACACACGCACACACACCTGTTACCCACTGCTGCTCCCCTTTAATCAAAGTGGTGTTTTCCTGCTCTCAGGTCAGCCCCTGCAGTGGCTGGTTGACTTCCAACAAGACGCTCCGGACTCTCACTTCAGAGGTAAGACTGGCACAGTCTTTTGGGACCATCTTGGATCATTCGGTCCCTCTGTTTGTTGCAGTTTTCACTAGGGGTGGATCTGGAAGCATGATGGTCATCAAGAGTGTGAGAAGTGTTAATAGGAAATATGATGAAAAGCCAATGATGAATAACAAAAGCAAATTGCCAGAGTGCTGGAGGCACCAAGAGGCAGGGGTGGCCTATCTCTCTCTGCCTCTCTCTGGGTCTGGATCTCTCACTGTGTCTCTCAGTATCATTCCCCTATGCACATGTGCACACACACACACACACACACACACACACACACACAGCATGCCCCATATATAGTTATAGAAGTGGAAATCTGAGCAAGGTTGGGCCTGTGTATCCCTGGAGTTCTCTCTGGAGGTCAATGAGGAGCCTCCTGATGTCTCTGAGGGAACCCATTGTTCAAGTAAAATGGTTTGAACTACTTTCATGGATGGTGAACTATTTATTGAATCTTTTTTTAAAAAAAAATAAAAGTATTTCAATTTTTTAAAATACAAATAACATAAAAACACACAAAGAAAATACACGATAACAAAAATCACCCCAAATTTTACCACCCAAAGTTACTATGTGTACATGTCTTTCATTATCACTTCCATAAATAGAGATTTGGGGTTTTGCCTACACAGAATGAGAATACACATGTTCTTTTCTGCTTTCCAATTTTTATATATTGTTTCTTCACATCATAATAACACAACCATTTTAAAATAGACAGCCTATGAATATACCATGATTTATTGCATCCCTTGGTGTTTGACATATGGGTTGTTTCCAGTTTTTACTATGATAAATAGCATTGCAATGAACAATTATACATATAAAGATGTATGTTGTGAGGACATCTCTACTTCCTTAAGATAAATTCCTATAAATTTATTGTGTCAAAGGCCATGCCCACGTTTATGGATGTGACCCATATCATCAAATCGCTTCTAGAATGATGAAACTAATCAGCATTCTCATCTATCTAGCCCTGGACATTTATGTTCTCAAGGTTTTCATCCCATCTATGCCAGTCCCATGGGGGAAAAGTGTTATCTTATTGCTTTAATTTGCACTGATTTGATTCCTAATGAATGCTAACATTTTTCATATGCTCACTGGTCATTTGCACATGAATAGAATTTAATGTGCAGAGCTGTTCTTTGCTGGTGGCTTGGAGAAAGGAAGGTGGAATGGGGAGGGGAAGATCGATTTCTTTTTTCTGCCTGAATTATCTCATGAAAGTCAAAGTCTAGGTGTCATGGACTTCTCCCTATTTCCCTCCTATTCAGAGAGCGGAACAACTCTCCAATACACTGAAAAAAATTGCGACCAGTGAGAAATTTACGAACTTCAATCTTTTCTACATGGATTTTGCCTTCCAAGAAAGTAAGTTGCTTGGTTTTGGTATTGACAGAAAACAAACACAGCAGCTGCAATGGAGAGCTTTCCAGGGCACTGAGTTAATAAAGCAGCAGTTTGGGCAGGGTTACTTCCGCCCATTCTTTCATTAGTAGCTCTCCATTTTGTAAAAGGATAATGCATTCGACTCTTTCTGAATGGGCTGGGGCTCAGCATTCCTTCATCACTTTATTTTTTTCTTTTTTATTCCTCTTACCACAGTTTGTATTGGTGCATTATAGCTGTGTGTAATGGTGGGATGTGTTGTTATGTCTTCATACATGCACACAATATAACAATATAATCTGGCCAATAGCACTTCTCAGCACTTCCCCTATTTGTCCCTTTTTTTAAAACTGATTCCTCTTTGATTTTCATGAGATATCGTCCCCCCTCTACTTTTCTTTTCCTTTTTTCTTTCTAGCTTCCACACATGAGAGAAAATGGCCTTCTAAGCTTGCCTTATTTTGCCTAACATAATAGTCTCAAGTTCTATCCATTTTTCTGCAAATGACATAATTTCATTTTTCTTTATGGTAGGTTTAAAACTCCATTGTGTATATATGACACATTTTCTTTATCCATTCATTCACTGATGAACTGGTTCCATAGTTTGGCTATTGTGAATTGTGCTGCTGTAAACATGGGTATGCATGTTTTGCTATAGTATGCTGACTTCAATTCTTTAGGGTAAATACCAAGGAGTGATATAGCTGGGTCATATGTTGGTTCCATTTCTAGTCTTTTGAGGAACCTCCGTACTGATTTCAATGGTGGTTGTACTATTTACAGTCCCACCAACAGTGTAAAAGGATTCTTTTTCCTCCACATCCTCTGCAGTATGAATTATTGTTTGTATCTTTGATGACTGCCATCTGACTTTTGCCATCACTTCAGAATTCTGAAAGGAATAGAACCGATCCTTGGAGAGAGCTTTGGACTGGGAGCCTTGGAACTAATGGAATCACCTAACCTGTTCTTACCAATTCAGCAATGTCCTTCTTACCTACAGGCTAATGATGGGTGTACCAGAAGTGAGGGGTAAGACAATACCTCTCACAGTGGGACACAAGATTACTTAGGGACTCAGTTGCAGTGCAGATTCCCAGGCCCCAGTCAGGATGAACCTCAACCTCATCAGAATCACTAAGGGAGGAACCAAAGAGTTTGTGTGGGGGGAAATAAACAACCTACATCCCAACTTTCCAGAAAGAATATCAAGTTTCTTTTTGAGTATTCTGTCCACTAGTGAGAGGCCCCACAAAAACAGGCATGATTATTAGAGCTATGGATTTATCCTTTACATCTTGACTCTGAAAAAAGTATTATTTATTGATTGTAATCCTTCCAGATTCATTTTTATTGCTAAGCAATTTTTATACAAGAGAAAGCCCCCTGTTGATTGACTGCCAGCTGAGATGATGCTAATGAAAAGCTTTACAGTGTATGCAAAGGGTGGAAGATTTCTTATCCAGAGTTTATCGTCTCTATCCCCCCCCCAAGCCCCTCCAGCCCAAGCATCTGGGATAGAGCAGATGGCCATCATGAATTATCAAATATTACATTAGTTGACACATTGTGCATTTCAGACCCTAGTACTTCAACTCTGAACATCTTTTCAACAAGACTGATCTCCCTTAACTAGATTTCCTGCCTGCATAATACACATTTCTCTCATGGGGAGAGACATTTTGATAAATAACCTCTCATTAAAATGCAGAGTTAAAGACTGGTTAATGAATTCCTGGTGTAAACAAATGCACCACCAAGTGATCTTTGATCATCACCAACTTTGAATATAGATAAAGTTATTAAAAATATAATATTGTCTAACATTCACATGGGACTTTTATATTTTTCAGGGTGATCGCTGGCCCTGTCATGTATTATCTATGAGATGGTAGGCAATTCTCTGAACAACTCTAACTGCCCCTTTCTAGACCTGGAAGTGGGGATGCCATATCTACCTAACAATCTTTGTGATAATTATATGAAATGTGTCATGCTCATAAATGCTATGCTTGTGCTACATAACCTGTTCCCAGGAGAGAATACCATAGTCATGCCTTTCCCACTGCCTGTTTGGTTTGGGATGAGCAAAATGAATGCCACCTGGGAGCCAATGTGAAGGCAGGCTTCACTCCAGATCTTCCTAATCACAATCTTCAGGTCATCTATATATAGGTCTCCTACCCCAAGATTAAGAGCTTAGTCATTCAATCATCAGATTTTTTTTTAACTGTGTCTTCTCTGTGCCAAGAGCTGTGTAGATGCTTGGAATATCATTGTCAACCAAACAGAATTATCTCCAAGAGAATATAGAGAGAAGGAAGAGCTTTATCTGTGACACAGCATTCCAGTGGTAAACTAGAAAGCTTGGAAACAAAGCCTTGCCAGCTCTTTCCTGTCTTCATGGCAACAATAAATGCAGAACAAAAATAGATATCTCAGTTAAATCGAACTGAATATTCTTCATCAACATGATTGCAATTTCCCAGGTATTTCTCCATGCTTAAAAATTCCCATCCACAGTTCAAGGAATTTCTTATTTTGCAATCTAAACCCTATGGTTTAGTTAGCAGTAACTAAACCATAGGGTTTATGTGAGGATGAAGTGAGACCAAAGCTTGTCAAGTCTAAGGACTCAGTGGCTGTTAGCCGGCGTCTCCCACTGCCTCCATCATCGGCATTTATAAAGCAGCTCCTGCATTCTCCCAGGTGATACATGTTAATTCTCTTTCAATATCCAGCCTACCTCCCATCACCATTCATGTTGAGAATTCATTGAGTCACTTTGAGGAAGATATGGTAGAAATGTGGCTTTTTATCATTGCACTATCAGAATTAAAAACTCGGTAAAGTCACTTATTAAATATGCAGTCTTAATAGTCCCATGAAAACCCCTCTTCTCATTTCAGTACTATATTTGAGCTGACTATTGCATCACAAATATACTCATTTCTCATGACACCGAAATTCCCAATTTCACATCCTGGTGACCGAGCGAATTGCTGTTGAGGACCCCTGTCACTTGAGGGTAGGCATAAGACCTATTTGTTCTTCACTCTGACAGCCTCGGTCCAGCACTGAAAAGATGATTGCTCATCTCCAAAGATTCTTTTTTATCTTTTGCTGACTCCTTTTCTAATGGGTTGTGAACTAAGCATAGGAAGCAACTTTTTCTGCCTTCAGGAAATGCCAACTTGAGCAGGTGATGTCCTTTTTCTTTGTATCGCACCTCTCCAGAAAGGGAAAGGAAATGCCAGCTGGCTGATAGGGCCATTTTTACACCAACACTTTAAATATACCTCCAGCTGCCCTCAGCTTCCAAGACAACTCAATCCGAGTAAATCTTGTCTTTGGTTTCCCATTCCCCCTGGATGCTTCTGTAAAACCAGCCAGTGACTCCGTGTTAACCAGTTCCTTAAAATGCCTGCTAGTGTTGCTGTTCATCAGAGCCCCCAAGTGCCTTGTGAGCCTTCCTCCATCGTCTCCATCACATCTTTGAAAAGCTGGTCATTAGCAGACTTCCTCTGACTTTACAGATAAAGACATATCATGCACCAAATCCCAACAGATGGTCCATGATCTTTCCATTTTAATTCATGTCTTCTGAAGAACGATTAGCAATTCATTTTGAATGATGGTTCTGGATAGGAAGGAAACTGACCGACTTACTAGGTTATCCTGGATTGAATGGCCCTCCTGCTCTGAAATCAATCAGAAAATAAATAAAGACCACTGTCTGCTATTGCATTTCTCCTGAGAAAGTAGAATTTCATCCTGAGATTTTTTTTTTTTTTTGGTAAAGTATCATTCTGCCTAGGAATACTCAAAGTACAAATAAAACCTTATACTCGTGACGATGAGTTTCTAAGACTACCTTTAAATTTTACAGTCCTGACGTCTATTCCTATGTGGTGACCAATACTGCCTTCACAGACACAGAGAAAATGATATTTTCCACTGTGAATGGACTTATTATAGCCTTGGTAACCTCATGGTATTTTCTTTCAATACTCATTGTATTATTTTATATGGCAAGTTAGATTTTCTGAAGGCTAGACTCCCTCATAGTGGCTACTGATATAGAGGAGAGAGATTTAGAGTCAGGAATAAGATTCCTGGTAAGGAAGAATGGGCTATCATTGATATTCAAGTTTGGTGATACTAAAAAGAAGCCCTCTCCCACTGACCCCATCTAGGGTATACAGCTGCTCCCTGGCAAAACGTGGCAACTAAATATCCTTTCCCTTCTCTTTATGCTTTTATTCCTGAGTTTTTCTTCAATTATTTCCACAATTATGGAATTGCTCAAGCCTGCATAGGAAGCAGAAGAGATTGACCATCTCTTCTCATTTTGAAAATCATCATTGATGGTTGAATTATGCTGTTCCTTAGAGATATCTATCAACACCTCTCCCTTTCTCTAAGGACCATAGTTTTTAGTTTGGCAGTTAGTAAAACACATAAAATTCAAATATGGACGCTTCAAAATTCAAATTTGGAAAACTCAAAATGGAAAAAAAAAGCTTAGAATAAACTAATCACATTGCCAAAACTGAATCACACTGGAGAAAACTCGTGTATAAACAAATCTGACCTTTTTTCATACCAGGCTCCAAGTAAACCTCCCTCTCATGGAACACAACCTGGGCTTAAGCTGTCTTTCCTTCACAGGCCCAAATCTGCTTTCCACTCTGGAGTTTCTAAGTCTCCTGATCACTATAATTCTTTTCTGAATTTTGACAGGTTGCAATTGAACTTGTCACTCAACCTTCTCTATAAACATAGAGAGTCAAAAAGTCTTGTGTGACACTTCCCACTCCACTGGGCCATAGGACACTAAGTGGACCTGGTCTGCTCCATGACTTGCTGTATACATATTTAAAAACAAGATGCCTCTGCCTGGGTCTTCTCCATCCAGTGCTTTGCAACTCTTCAGCTGGTTCTATCTGAGGTCTTGATGGGGCTGAGTTCCCACTGGCTAATCTTGTAAACACAGCTGTTCATCAGAGCCCCCTGATGAACAGCATCAGGGGGCTCTATCTTAGGCCACTGTAATAAAGGGCCATACAATGAATGGCTTATAAACAACAGAGCTCTRTTTCTCACACTTCTGGAGGTGGAAAGCACAATCTCAAGGTGCCACGTGGTTGGGCTCTGGTGACAGTGCTCTTCTAGGTTGCAGGCTGCCAACTCCTCCTTGTATYCTCACATGGCAGGAAGGGTCTCCACTCGTGATGGCTCCACCATCATGGCCTAATTACATCCCAAAGGCCACTTCCTAATCATGGAGGAGGTGGAGAGCAAGGATTTCAACATAGGAATTTGGGAGGGACACAAACATTCAGGCCATTCCACATCTTGTTGGAATTTTCTTTTATTCATTCTCCTGATAACATCTATATGGCATAATAAAAAATATCAGAAATAAAGAAGGATGCAAGAAAGGGATAAAAAYCTCATTGACAACTTGGGGGAAGTAGAAAGGAATACAGGCACATGGAAGCAATGTTACCTCTGAAGTCTGAGGGGTTGAGGGGACGACATCTGACCCGGATAGGGCCTGTCCCCATCCTTGTTGATTTTTGTGGGACTGCAAGGAGAGAGGAGGAGACAAATACCGTGAGATCACAAAGGACATCAATGGGGCTACAGAGAATTGATTTTGGCTCCATATTTGCAAAATCCCTTCTAAATGCCCGGCTCTCCTTTAAGGGAAGCCTGTTGKACGTTTAGCATGGAGGTGGCTCCAATGAAGAATCAACATAAAGTTAGAAAATAAAAAAGCAGGAGCCAGACATGGTGGCACTTGCCTATAATCCTAGAGATTTGGGAGGCTGAGGCAGGAGGATTGMGAGTTCAAAGCCAGCCTAGCAACTTAGAAAGGCCTTAAGCAACTTAGTGAGATCCTGTCTTAACAAAGTAAAATGGACTAGGATGTGGCTCAGTGGTAAAGTGCCCCTGGRTTCAATCCCCAGTATCAAAAATAAAAAATAAAAACCTAGAAAARCAAGACCCAATAGATGAGGAGGAAACTGGTCTATCTTCTGCCAGGCAAGAGAGAGAACAAAGAGTTTAAAATAAGCATAAGTTAATGTCATGGCATATGAGTCAGTCAGAGCCAGGAATGGGCTAGAACAGGGTCACAGAGCATACAAAGCCAGCATTGTGACCAGGGAGGGCAATCTGGGATCCACACATGAGTTTTGAAATGCGAGATACAGAGGAAATGGCAGAGCAGACATATTGTACCTGAAACAGAAAGTCTGATTTCAAGGTGATGCCCCCAAAACAGCAGAACTCTGGCCAGGCAAACTGGAGACTGAGGCAGATAAACTTCCCTGAGACTCTGCTTTTTACAGRATACTATGGCCACAGCAGGAAAGAAATTGTTGAGGGCTGCAAGCTGACCTAGTGGAACAAATGTGTCAAGACAGCTCTGAGCTTCCTATCAGAAGAGCAGATGCAGACCATTCCTTGAGAGAGGAGGGCATTTATCAGTGTGAAGCAATTGCTCCCTTGAGGCTCCATGTGGAGGACACCTCATGACACAGTGACACAGTAGACAGCTAGCTCAGTTTTGTAAGAAATGCAAAGCCCACTTACSAAGAGTTGCTTCTTCTATCAACCTCCAATAACACCCAGAAGCATATCATGCAAAAGGTGTTCAGTGGTGGCCATTCTACCAGGAAATAAGTTAACAGGGACTGATGATCCAGTGTACAGGACTCCAAACCAGTGGCACGAATTTCTYCCTAAACTCTGAGAAGGGCAACATTAACTGCAGCCTCTCCAGGGACAGAGATTGGGTAATAAGTGAGGAAAGCAAGCTGTAGTATCCAGAGTAACTGCAGAAGCAATTGAGTTCTAACTGATTCAGCCCTGGGAAAGTCCAGCTTYCCTTGTCCAGACAAAGCCCCGGATAGAATCTCCATCCTTCCCTGGAGTAATAGGGGGAGAAAAAGAGGGACAGACCTCTRCCCTGCATTTTCTAGGGGATGAAGAGAAAAGAACCAGAGGAATCTTAGCTGTGTCTTCTGCCCTCACTGGACACCAGGAAAGCAAGGGCGATGACCAGACAGGAAGCACAAGTCTCCTTGGAGGTTCTCTAGGGATTTGGAATTTCCTTCAGGAGTTCTTACTGGCTAAGTGATGGTACAACACAGCGTTAATTGCACCGTTGCCTTGGAGCAACTGACATTTTTGGTCTCTCATCCTTGTTGAAGGACAGTTTTATTGCTTTTCATCACTTTGGGGCTCATAATATTTTCTCTGTAGCCACACTCTCTCTAAAAGTGATRTTGAGATAATTTTATGTAATTATATTTCTGACATGCTGTAGGATTGTTCAAGGTGATGGCTTGACACATGGAGGCAGTGTCTGCAAATGGCAGCCCAGGAAAGGAGATGTTCACAAAATGCTAAATTTCCCTCCCTGTACTGCTGTGCTCCTGTCCACTGAAAAATGAAGTGGACTTAAATCACTGAATATTTTAGAGTTCCCTTTTYCCCCTGCATTCCCAGCTACACAAATCACATTCATTCCAGCAAGCTCATACATTCTCTTTTGGAGTTAGAAGAAGAAAAATCACTCCATGGAAAGATCATTTCTGTCCCAAAAGATCCCAGCTCAAGATAACAGCTCAGAGGCTGCCRTGGCCTGGGAAGGAGGGGGCAGTCCTGATGGTACCTCATTCGGTCCTTGCCCTTGGCATTGACCTTTGTGGAAGGGCATCTGTAACGCTCTGGTTGTGTGTCCTGTAGTCATAGAGGAGTGGCGGAGGAGAGGTGGACAGCCCTGGCAGCTCATTGAACCCGTAGATGGATTCCACCCCAACGAGGTAAGCACAGTCAGATCTGACAGCTATCTGGCTTGTTTATTTTTTTTAATATATTTATTCTTGGATGTGTTCATTTTTCTTCTGTTTTGTTCCAGAAAGGATTTGAGGGAGTGTACATCACAGTGTAAGACAATTCAATCAAAATGAAGTGAAAATCAGGGGCAAAGGAAAATGAGGTAGAAATCATACCCAGGTTCCTGACTTGGTTTCTAGAGTTTGTAGAATCTGTGCAGGGCAAGCCTAAGAAACTGCCAGAGGAGGCTTATGAAATCAGCTTAAGGCTGTGTAGCAGCCAGGGCCAAAGGCCTCCATGAGATAGTCATGACCTCCATAAGATAAAACGTAAACCAACCACTTATAAAAAATCAACAAGCRGGGCTGGGGATGTGGCTCAAGGGGTAGCGCGCTGGCCTGGCATGCGTGGGGYGCTRGGTTCAATCCTCAGCACCACATAAAAATAAAACAAAGATATTSTGTCCACCGAAAAATTTAAAAATAAATATATTTTAAAAATCAACAAGCATAATGATTCCTGAAAGCAAGAGCTGTCTGAAATTTCTTCCATGGATCCTTTTAGAAAGGACGCTGTAGGAGAAGAGGAAATGTCCTTAGCAAGATCCTGCAGTCTGAGCTGTTTCTCATCTCATATTCCAGAGTGTAGCTCTATAAAGCAGCTCCTGTCTGGCCTCTTCACAAAGCAAGGGAGCTGGAGGGCAGGACCCTTCCCTCCTGTCCCCACCCAACCTATTATCCTGGCTTCCATCAGAGAAGTTCCACTTTCATCTGTCAGGTATACTGGACTTGCTCCTGACATTTCTGTATTTTAAAAAAAGGAAGAGGAAAAAYGTGTGGGAGTACTTGACCGCAGGCAAAATTTTGAAAGCTGTCCTCCGCAGGGGAGACAGGCCRTCTGGGGCAGGCGATCCTCCATCTCCATTGTCTTTCTGACCCAGGCTTTGGTAAGTTTGGTGTGGCAATGATAGGGCTACAAACCTGAGAGCACTGCTGGAGGTGCCCCCCTGGTGGCCTTGGGTTCCATGGTCAGCTAGGCCACAGGGAGGGTTGCTCATCCTCTTGAGATCCTGGATAGAACCACAGCTCACTGACCCCAGCTCTAGGCTCTACAAGTTCCAGTGGGCAGAGGGTGTACTTCCTAATGGGAGAAAAAACAGTGGAGCCCACAAATGAAAGGCAGGGTAAATTTTAAAGTGAATATTAATTGCCCACCTCACTTTTTAAGTTTTTTTTTTTAATGTACCTTGGAATATCTAACTTTCCTGTGTATCAAATGGGTGATGATTGGMGAATAATTAGCTGGAAGCTGGTTACATATTAGGGTCTGGCTGCAAAAAAAAAAAAAAATAGTGTCTTTCATTTTAGAATAGTGAATGTGAAGCCCTTCTTCCTGCCAATAATGGGGAAAGACGTAATAGTTCTTTTGAGACAGAGTCTTGCTGTGTTACCCAGGCTCTAGAATTCCTCCCTCTGCTTGAGTAGCTGGGACCACAGGCAYGTCACCACTACACCTGCTCCAGACAGCAGTTCTCATTATTCTCTGCACACAAYAGAATTTGGATTCTATAGAGAGTGAACATATGAAAAGATAGGTAGGGTGTCAATTAGGAACAAACAGAAAAAAGAAACTGTCAAAGACAGCTTTAYTTTGTCCCTGGGGCATATTTGTCTCAACTATCAAATGATCAATCTGTCCCTGACTCTTAAAATAATACTGGGTTCAAGGTCTGTCAAACTGCGGGTCTAGCTTGTGCTCAAACAGCTTTGCTATACCTGGCTGTTCAAAAAGTCAAGGCTGAAGCTGCTTGTATGTCATAATCTCATGTGATTCCTCCAAGACTTGTTTGCATCCTGGTATCCAGTGGTAAAATGGGCAGYGGAGGTACAGCCACAGTTAAGTGGGCAGGCACAGATGGCCAGGCCCAAACCTGTCGGTTTATCATGCTCTATAGTGAGCTGAAAAGTCCAGATTGGCAACTTTCCATGCAAAAATATTTAGCACRTGCCTCCCCAGGTGTCAAAGCACAGCAAGAATTCACAAGCAAACAAGAAGCCCCTGTGATTTGAGATTGGAGTATAAAGTAGGCAAACAATGAGCAAACAGACAAATATAATGTGGTGAATGCCTCCAAGCGTGCAAACCCAGCATGCCTCAGGAGCAGCATGGAAACAGGAAAAGGTGTTAGAAAAGGTTGTCCAGAGGAGGTGATGAGAGCAAAGGGAAGAGATGGGCGTGGGCTGCAAAAGTGTTTTGAGCAGAGGAAACTGTGTGGGCACAGACCTGAATATGAAAGAAACCCTGGGACCATGGAGGAATCCAAAGTGCCTTTGTACAGTCTGGACACGGAGTAGGAGAGTGGGTCTGAGAGGGAAGAAATCAGGAGCCAGACCCTGTAAAGTCAGCACGGGGCTTGGCCTTGCTCCTGCGGGAAATGGGGAGCCACTGCAAGTTTTAAGCAAAAAACAGACCTGTGTTCTTAAAAGATACCCATAGTAGCCGAGTGAAGAATACTTTGRTGGAATCAGATCAAGGGACTGGGAAAAAAAGGAAGGAAATTTTTGTCTAAGCAAAGAAACAAAATTGCAAAAACCCAAGACCCAGATTTGTTGTCTATGAAAGCTGCAGGATTCTACCTGTCTAAGCATCTACTTTTTTCAGTCTCTGTAAATAAAGTTAAGCATCTGAAGAGTCACTCAAAAGACCTCCAGGCCTTAAATCAGATAACAGGAAACAGAAAGTGTTAAGAGCCACAGACATAGATCAAACTCTGTTACCCTGGCACCTCAGGGATCACCTGTCAACATCCCTGACACCTCCTGCCTTGGAAGCTTCGACCAAGCCACGCTCCCTGCAAAAACAACCTCCTCTCCTCTCATCACGACGACAGCAGCTCAAACCATCCTCTTCAAACTCCTACTGCAAGCAAGAAAGTTTCCATGAATCAATTCCCTCCTCCCTGTTCAGCCCTGAACCCTGCACGCTACTGGAGACAGACATAGCACATATAATCAATGGATTTGTTTCAAAGAGGTTAACAGCCTCCAGATTTCTATTCGTTTCRACTTGTAAGCCCCTGGGAAACAAGGGTCCTGGGAAGACTTATGGATCTCCTAAAAAAATAATAAAGTAAAGATGAAGAAGAAAGAGCACTGGCAATGGTACAGGGCAAGAGGGAATCTGAGCCAGGGAACCACAGAGCAGGGACCATGTCTATTTATTTTGTTTTATGTACCAACTTGCAACCATYGTTTGGTGATGACCCCACCAAGTCAGCACAAGGGGGATTGAGCTGATAGGGAACTGATACTTTTCCTTGAATGTTAATGTTGAGATACATCTTACACCACTGTCATGTTTTCAGTTTTCAGTTTGCGGATTTAAAATCAATCAGGACCAAACATAACCAAGTCCCATAGACTGTGCTCCTGTGAAAATGAGAAGGGCAGAGGAAGACAGCTCTGCCTTCCTGTGGTTAGGGCTTCCCGCAGGTGTTTAAAAGCARTCTTCTCAAGATAGCCCTGGAGCGTGCTTCCTGTGGGAGAAATACATTCAGAGCAGATTTTATACCTTTGGTCTGGTAGAAGCCCAGAGTTAAATTTAGCAGGAGTTCAACTTAAAAGGTATCAAAAGCCATTTTAAGTTTTTTGGTGAAATCTGTGTAATCTTGCATTTTCTTTTTTAAAAGATTACAGAAAGCTCATTCTTATTTAAGATTTGTTTYTATGATTGTTTTCACTAAGGAGTTCTATTTTAGTAGTAAAAAAAAAAAAAAGTAATTAGCTTCTGAGGCGGGAGTGAGGAGGACCTCCCCCCTACATCCTAGCCAACTCTGACAGCTGCTGGGACACTGCCCTATCCTGGTGTGTCTCATGAACCTGTGGGGTGTTCCTGACATCAGTGTGTTTTCTTAGAGGACTGGAAAACCTCCCAAAAAAGCACTCCTCATAAGTAGAATATAGTTAATTCAAGAAATGTGYCTTAATTTGAAATTGTTCATCAGAAGACAGGAAAGATTCTGAAAGTGTAGGGCAGCTGTTGACCAGGACCYGATTAAGAAACCTCACCACCTCATGATCCTCCACTCTTCTCCCCATTCCTGGGAGATCAGAGGCTGTGAATAAAAACATTCCACAAAAATCTTACATAAGCCAACATGGTGTTAAGTTGTCCTGTTTTGTTGCTCCTTCTATGAGACTTTTAAAGAGTAGCAAAGTGTTCCAAGGGGACCAATGACCACCACATGGTTTTGGCTTCAGAGTGGTAGTGGGCAGGTGTGCAGGTGACGCCCCATAGAGGTACCATGCCACGTCAGACAMGGTGTCCCTGGAGGAGGGGCCCCACCAGATAGAAATGGCAGTGGTGCCAGGATACAAGCAGCCACCTGGCCCTGTGGCAGAGGTTCTGCAATAACAGGGAGCCAACTGAGTTCATGAAACAGTGTCCTTATTACCCAGGGACTCTGTTCTAACCTCACTCAGGCAGAGGTGCCTGAGGAAGCCTGAGCTACTGCAGAATATTCAATTATTCCTATATTTCTCAGTCTCCATGGCCAAATGGGCCCATCAACTGGACAAACATAGTAAATCGAATAAAAGCCACCAATGTTCACATCACAGAACTTAAGATTTAGTACCCAGAAATACATTATGAGTCTTGTAAGAAGTAGTGCTCAAACAGTACTGAGCCTGGGTGAGGGTGCGGAACTTTAAAATGCATGTTCCCTATGTCTCCTTCAGATCTCTCCAGTGAGCTCATGGGAGAGCCCAGGGAACATGCTCAGTGATGAAAGGTTTACCCTCAATACCAAAGATATGAAGCGTTGGAAAATAGTGACATCATGTAGATGTTAGACTAGGAAATATAATGCTAACTCTGCTGTAATCCCAGTGAAAAGAAAAAGCAACCATTGAAAAGTTTGTTCTGGAAGGATTAAAAAAAAAGCAAAGTGACAGGGACTGGGATTGTGGCTCAGTGGTAGAGCACTTACCTAGCACGCATGAGGCACTGGGTTCAATCCTCAGCACCATATATAAATAAATAAAGATATTGTGTCTATCCACATTAATATTTTTTTAAAAAATCAAAGTAAAAACAACTTGCAAGATCTTTAGGCTAATTGTGTTTTTTAAAAAAATCTAGCCAACTGCAGTAGGACACACCTGTAATCCCAGTGACTCAGGAGGCTGAGAGGCAGGAGGATAGCAAGTGTGAGGCCAGCCTCAGCAACTTAGTGAAACCTTCAGCAACTTAGCAAGACCTATTTCAAATTAAAAAATGAAAAGAGTGGCTGGTAGCGGCGGCATATGCCTGTTATCCTAGCAGCTCAGCTGAGGCAGGAGGATCAGGATTTCAAAGCCAGCCTCAGCAACACCAAGGTGCTAAACAATTCAGTGAGACCCTGTTTCTAAATAAAATACAAAATGGAGCTGGGAATGAGACTCAGTGGTTGAGTGCCCCTGAGCTCAATCCCTGGTACCCTGTAGAAAGAAAGAGAGAGAAAGAAAGAAGGAAACAGAGAAAGAGAGAGGGAGGGAAGGAGGGAAGGGGAAAGGGAGACAGAAGAGGGATGGGGATGTAGCTCAGTGTTAAAGTGTCCTTGGGTTCAATCCCTAGTGCAAATAATCATCATCATCATCATCATCATCATCATCATCATCATCAAATGACCAAACAAAGGGGACCACAAGGCAAATTCTTGTATCAGAGAAGATTTCACTTAAGAAATCCAGCTTAAGTGCATCCTAGAGTCAGTATAGACTCCACCCATCTCCTATCAAATTCTCAGCAGTGGTCACAGACCAATAGAAGGCACAATTCCAACTCACCAAGCAATTAAATAAAACATCAGGTTCTATTACAAGAGGCTGACTTGATCAACTCAGAAACTGCTTCTGGCTTTATCATGTTATGAACTGGACATGTTTGTATGCAAGAAAGCAAGAAACTGGACCCTGAAAGGTTTTCAACTGTCAAGGAAGAAACACAGAAGGGCCTAACTCCTTTACCAGAAGAACTCATGTAACTAGAACCGCCCCAACCCCTACCCCCTGGCATTCTGCTGGACTAGATTGTACTCCACACATAGGTGCAGCAGGGTAAGCGAACAAGCCAGGCAGCCTAGGATCCCCTCCCGTGATGAAATGCTGTGTGAGCAGGCAGAAGCAGGTGTCTCTGTCCTCTGGCCTCAGGACAAATGCTATGGACATGTGTGGAAAAAAATCTTCCACCTGTAAAATAAATGAGCTTGCATCCACCTGCTGGAACTCCACGCATCAAATAAAAACAATGAAGCAGATCCATCTTTTTGAGGATATACACCAACACAGATACGTTGGTAATAGCAAAGMAAATAAGATTGTAGGGCAGTTATGCGCACAGTTGTATAACATCTGTCAGCACTCATGGAACTATTCACGGAGAAGAGATCCCCTTACTGCACATGTGCGCAGATTTTAAAATGATATTCTCAGAGGGGTCCACTGTGTGTGTGTGTATGTGTGTGTGTGTGTATGTGTTGGATATAAAATCAGAAAGGCTTCTCCACCCAATGCTAGAGAAGCTACCTCTATTTTAATTACAGATAGCTTTTGTTCTGTGTTTTCTCTTTTTGCTGAATTTCCTCCTTCATTTTTCCCAGAATGAATAGATGTTGTTTTACCTTTTTTTAACTGAATAGAGAAGGACAAAAGAATACCTGTGTTCAAGAAGGGCTGATCTGGAAGAAAAGGAGAGAAGGACAGCTGGGCCTCTCCTGTGTGGTGGACCATGGGAGTGTGACAGCAGATTGCTCACATGAGAAGCCCCAGGGGTGCTCAGCAAATAYAAGTCACACGAAGGGATGAAGGAACGATTATAGCGGGTCTCTTCATCACGAACAATTCTCATTTGAGATACAATATTTTAGCAACACACACTCATAAATATTGTAATCTCTTAAAGTGACAGTCATCTAATTGCTTTCAAACCAAACAGATGCCACATGCTCAAATGAGCTCTTTCATTTTCCTCTTCTTACTCTCCCCCGTCTCCACCCTTATGAACAGAGATGAAATAAGTGCCCACAGGTGGCTTGGGATGTTATACTTGTTAGAAAGACAGCCTAGGTGTGTCAAGTTGAAAGCCAAAACAAAACAACAACAACAAAAAAAAAAACAACAACAACAAAAAAAAAAGCAGAAGATCTGGTAATTTTCCACAGACCTGACAGCAGCCTCCTTCATTGAAAAATGGCAGGGAAAACAGACACAAGACCAGGCCTCTGTCTTCAAAGACACTGATTGTTTTGTATGGGAGATGATCTGACCCTTCCCAAAGAATGGTCAGCTTGACAGGCAACTTTTGACTCCCTCTTGCTTTTAAGTACAAAATGTGTGTGTGTGTGTGTGTGTGTGTGTGTGTGTGTGTGTGAGAGAGAGAGAGAGAGAGAGAAAGAGAGAGAGTGTGCGCACTCTGCTTGGTGTGTATGTGACAGTGTATGTTGACAGTGTATATTTGCAGATGTTATAAGAGTATGCCATGTGGGTGGGCCAGTGTGTGCTGTGCATTTATGTGGTGTGTGTCGTATGTATGGTGTGTGCTGATATGTGGAGGGACTACAGGGTGTTAGATAATTATGTGTTTGTTTAGATGAAATTTTAGGTCTACCTCAGAAGACTCTGGAACACATCAAAATGCTGAGGATACTTAATGCCATGACTAAATCAGTTCTAGTTTTTCTAACACCTACTAAAATGTTACACACAATTTAGACCCAGGAAGGACTTTAGATCAATGACTCCAGCTCATTCACCGTGGAAATGAGAGATCTGGGGCCCAAAGAGTACAAGCAAGCTGCTCAATGTCACACAGCACGGCCTATCAAAATGGTGAACTGTAAACTCCCTTGTAGGGAAATGACCCTGTGCTTTTGAATAAAGTCAGACACCTCCCCCTAAGGCCTTCAGCAATCACATTCCTCTTATGATTCAACCTTAAAAATTCACTGTGGAGATGGAGCCATCTGGGGCTCAAAGGCCTGGCTAGGCCTCATTTGCCAAATGAGGACATCATCATCTGCAGAGAAAAAGTCTCCTCTTCCAAGAGATGCCCATGACAAGCCAGAGTACTAGACAACCAACACAGGATTCTGCTCAAATGTGGATAAAGGAACACTTGACACGCAGCAACAGAATCAGAGAGAATAAGGGTCACATAGGAGATCAAGAGCTCAGCCCATTAGGCATTAAGCAAGAAAGCCCCGCTCTGGCCCTCCAGCCTGACTGCCTAACCCACAGCCTCCTCCAGGATCCWACCCCTCCCAGGTGCCCTGCCCAGCCTCACCTCAGGCACCCATACTCCCTCCCACAGGCTACTTTCTCCTCCATGCTCTCTGTTTCCCCACAGCAGCTTCTGGCCACCCTCTTCTTGAAAATTCAGTGCAGTCATCACCTTCTTGCAAGAGGACCTGCCCCTTTCCCACATGACAGGGTTGATACCCTTCCCCTCTGGTGTGCACCTCATCATCACAGCCCTCCCTAGGGGTTTGGCGGTGTCATTTTTGTATTCCTGGTCCCCTCCCGGTGTCATTTTTGTATTCCTGGTCCCCTCCCTAGGCTAGGAGTTCCTGGAAAGGAGGAATGGTCATCTCCAAACCCAAGCCTCAGGCCTGCAGCAAATGTTAACTGTCCACAGACAAATGCATAAGTGATTTCTGAGAATGTGTATTTATCATCTAGTATCAAATAACAAATTCCTTCAGCAATTTAAACAATACACACTTATTATCTTGCCATTTCTGTATGTTATAGCTTAATGGGGTCCTCTCCTTAGRATCTCACAAAACTAAAATCAAGGTGAGTGATTCGGGCCGTGTTCTCATTTGGAGATTCAACTGGAGAAGAACTTCGTTCACACTCACTTTGTTTGTTCTAGGGTCTGCCAATCACAGAAAGAATAAAGTAAATCTTGCTAGTCAATTATTTCCCTTTTATAATTTCCCCTTTCCTCCTCCTTTGGGTTCTTTCTTGCAGGTGGCTTCGTTCCTGCTGGCAGAGAATTTCTGGAAGAAAGTGCAGCTCCAGTGGCCCCAGGTCCTGGGAAAGGAGAATCCATTCAATTCCCAGATTGAGCAGGTGTTTGGAGACCAAGGTGGGCACTGAGTGTCTCAGGCATACACACCTGAGGATCACAGGGAGGCAGAAACTTGGATCAACTCATCAACAGCGTGTTCAGGGGCCCCCATGTCACAGGCCAAAGTATCCTCTGCAGCAGCATCTTTGCAAAATTCTTTCCTCAAGAGAAGAGCTGAATACTGTTGTGGTGCCATGTTCTTCCAGGGTCAATTCCCCTTCAGCTTTCCCTGAAATAACCCTTAATAAAGCAGTTTGAGGATGATTTCCAGCCTGGGAGTATTCTGTGCCCTACAACAGTTGGTCATTCTAAAAAGGGGTCTTCTTAAAACCTAAACCACCCAGTGATGTTCAGCAATTTGCACATGGTCTTGGTGTGTCAGGGATTGGCCCTGCCCCTGTTGGTGACTTAAAGATGGCCCAGCAAGCTGAGATTTCTCCTAGAAAGGCTGCTGGATGGCTGCCAAGGGCTTGCACAAGCAGGACATTCAACTGTCATGGGCCCTCTTTAAAAACAGTATGCAACCTGGGCCTGGTGGCACATGACTGAGATTAGTGACTCAGGAGGCTGAGGCAGGAAGTTCTCGCGTTCAAAGCCAGCCTCAGCAAAAGCAAGACACTAGGCAACTCAGTGAGACCATGTCTCTAAATAAAATACAAAATAAGGCTGGGAATGTGGTTCAGTGGCTGAGTGCCCCTGAGTTCAATCCCTGGTACCCCAAAAAATAAAAACAGCACACAAAACCATAAATACAAAATTAGGCATAAACTTGAATACTTACTTAGAAGAAAAAAAGATATCAGAGCAAATTAAGAACTATTAAAAGTCAACAAGTACCATAAGTCCCACAAAGTCCATGAAAATGATAAACATCTTTTCTTTAGAAGTTTTTGCTGGAAATAGAACCCAGGGCTTCCTGCATGCTAGGCAAGGGCTGTTACCACTGAGCCTCATTCTAAAGCTTCCCCTGCATTCTAAAGCTGCATAATATGATTGTCTCTTCCTTATAACAATGATTTGTGACATCATTGTCTATAGAAAGAATTAAAAACTAAAATTTGTAGCTTATTATTGAAACTTTAAAAGAGTTTCTTTTTTTAATATGTTTATTTTTTTTATTTATATGTGGTGCTGAGGATCGAACCCTGGGCCACACACGTGCTAGGCGAGTGCTCTACCACAACACCAGCCCCTAAAAGAGTTTCTTTCAGCGACATGAATAATTATTGGCAAAGTTGTATAAATCTTCAGGAGTGTCGCACAGTAGGAAGACCTCTGTCAGGTTTCCTTTGAATGTAAGCTGTGAAAGTCTCTCTCTCCATTTCTAGTATGGTTGGCCCTCCAGACCGCAGGTTCTGCACGTGTGAATTCATTCAACTGAGGATATTTGAAAAAAAGTTGTAACTGTACTAAATATATACAGATTGTTTCCCTGTCATTGTTCCCTGGATAATACACTACAGAAACTATTGCATAACATTTACATTTCATTAGGTATTATAAGCGCTATATTTTGAATCCTAAATGTCCACAGGTTAAAGGYTTTGTCCTTAGCTTGGCACTATTGGGAAGCAGTGGAAACTTTAAGAAGTGGGAACTAATGAGTTTTAGGTGACTGGGAGCATGCCCTCAAAGGGAATTGCATATACTCATCCTTCTGTATACTTTAATCTCTAGATTACTTATAATACCTAATACAATGCAAATATCATATAAATAGTGGTTAGGCTGTATTATTTAATAATGACAAGAAAAATGTCTGTGTATGTTCATTATAGACAACAATCATCATAGGCCTCAGTATACAGTAACAATCTGCCAATGGTCAAATCTGTGATTAGTTGAATTGCAGGTGTGGAACCCGTGAATACCAATTGCTGACTCCAGATGATACAGATGATTTATCATTGAATATATTTTTTTAAGAGAGAGAGAGAATTTTTTAATATTTATTTCTTTAGTTTTCGGTGGACACAACATCTTTATTTTTTATTTTTATGTGGTGCTGAGGATCGAACCCAGCACCCTGCACATGCCAGGAGAGCGCGCTACCGCTTGAGCCACATCTCCAGCCCAATCATTGAATATATTCTTAACTGTGAGTGCTGAGCACCAGTGCAAAACACCTCCTGTTCACCGCGCACATCTGATGATGGGAAGCCATTGCCACTGACTGGCTTCTGGTTCTATTTATCTCTCATCTCATTTGTCCTCCATGAGCCACATATTTCTAATTGCAATATGACTGTTGGTCTTTGTTATGACACTGGTGGACAATAACTAGCAATAGCCTAACTATACAGAGAAACACCTGCAAACACACAAATATTAACCTAAACTGCCACCATCTGGATCTTGAATATCTCCCAAAGGCCCATGTTTTAAAGGATTGTTCCTAGTCTGTGGCACTATTGGTACACAGTGCAATCTTTTTGTTGGGGGGAGGGCTTAATGGTAGGTGGTTAGGTAATTGAGGGTGTGGCCTTGAATGGGGAGGTTGGGACCCCAGTTCCTTTCTCCCTCTCTCCTCTTGCTTTCCCTGCTGCCAAGAGAACAGACCTCCTCTGCCACATACTCCCACCATGATATACTATGCTACCGTATGCCCAAAGCAACTGGGCCAACTAATCATGAGCTGAAACCTCTGAAACTATGAGCTAAAATAAACCTTCTTTCCCTTTAAGTGTATTTTGTTACAGTAATGAAAATGGGACTAACATATAAAAACCAATCTACATGAATCTCCATTTCAACTTGTGATTGGCTAAAGTAAAGGAAGAATCCCCAAAATTTCCATGGCCACTTATAAGAAAAGATGACACAGAAAGCAATTGTGTTTAAAATATCTTTCTTTTGCGATTTTCACAAAGCATAAGACCACGTGGACACATTTCTGGGGCTTTTCCCAGCTTTGGGAGACACTCTAAGACTTAATTAGACTTACGGTAGATCCACCTCCACTCACAAGGTTAATATGCCAGGTGGTATGTCAGCTTCAATTTGGGGGGCTGGCAGGCTTAAAATGTGCATCCATTCATTTCTGTCACATGAGCAGCACTCTTGATTTAGCATAACCAGCACATGTCCCCTGGAGGCAAGTCAACAAAGGGCAACAGCACATTGTCAAGAGGTTTCTATTTTAAGCAGAAAATAAAAACAAGGGGAATGAATTGGAGAGTAAGAGGCGGAGAAGTGTTGGGCTGTGGAAATCTCATATATCCACCTCCTGAGGGATGTGTCCTCTTGTAGGATCTTGGTAATCATAACTTACTCTGTTATTTCAGCATCTCGGGTTATTTTTAAACACCAAAGTACCCTGATATTTAGTTATTGTTTTTTAATCTGAAATATTAATCATTCAGTCTCAATAAACCCAGAGAATGCTGCACTCAAAACTATATTCCTTTAGTTAAGAACTCTAGCCATAATTTTGAAGGCTCCAGTCCATGATGGGTTGTCCCCAAAAGCTTTGGGCCTGTGATGAGGCCACACAGCATGGCAGGAGGAAACGGCAAAGCAAAATCACTCATCACACAGCCAGGGAGCAAAAAAGGAAAAGAGGAAGGGTGCCAGGTCCCAAGCACTCTCAACAACTTAAATGCTTCCTACTAAGGCCACATTTCTCAAAGGTTTCAGACCTCCAAAGAGCACCACTCTGAATACCATGCCTTGAACACATGACCTTTGGGAGACATTCAACATCCACACTACAGCAACCAGTGCCATCTCTGAGCAGGCTCATGGAGGAGGACAAAGATGCCTGAGTCCTGAACCCTGGCCCTACTCCTGGAGCACAGCACCAAGTAATCAAGGGAAAAAAAAGGGGTGAACCACCTCTCTTTTTGAGAAAAACAACAATAGTGCATAAAATAAGTACTCAATTCAAATAAAAAATAAATACCAATGTAGTCACCAGGAGAACCGGAGGCTGAAGTTAGACCCTCTCCCCTGAGTCAGGAGCCTTGAGAGGGGCCCATCTATATAGTTCTGTTTCCACTTTCTATTCTCCTGACCAACCCAGACACGTTCCTCCATTGAGATTTGACCATCTTTCTCCATGGTTTGGGAGTGTTCTGAATCTGTAGATCCGCTGAGTAATTCTTATAACTTCTAGGTGCCCAGAATTTATAGGCTAATTGTGGAGTAACAGCTCCTGTTCCATATTTCTATATTGGTGCCCCTGGAACTGCTGTCCTTGAGTTTTTCGAATCATAGTGGGTGAATGCTGAGAGGCACCTGAAGGGCTTTCCTGGGTGGCATGCACCCCTCTCTCCACTATGCCCCATTCCTGGGAATGAGAATCGCCAGAACTTAAACCAAAGCTGAAATAGGAACCTGCCAGTCACATGCACTCCTGTGTCCATGCATGCTCTCTGCATCAATGCCTAGCCCACTACAGGTGCTCAAGAATAGTGCTGAATGAATGAATGGACCTGCTGTCCAGATCATACAGTATTACTCTTTGACATATAAAAAATAATTGGTCTCTTTTTTGACACATTTGAATTAGACCCATTGGATCATTGGATCATGTTCCTCGTGGTAAGAAGGGTGAAAAAGAAAAGCAGTGCATTGAGATGCTGCCTTCTCTCCAGGCACCCCTGGTGGAAGGATGTGGGTTTTCTATGGGTCTTCATCTAGATACTCCAAAACTCTAAGATAATTTAGGTTTCTTCTGTTATCAGAAAAATCTGTCTTTCCTTCCCCATTGAAATGGAGTTTATCATTTTCTACATGAATAATTTCCAAGTACCTTTATTTCCACCCATTCCTAAGCATTTTTCATTTGGGGTTCAAGTCATATAACAAAAGGTTTTTAAGCCCCACAGCAAATGCAGATTAGCTGAAAGTCTTTGTGTGAGACTTGTACAAATACACATGTAGCAGGTCCTAAGTCCCCCAGGAATCTACAAGGACTTCCCCATCCTATACTCTCACTGATTTTATTCCATAGTTAAGGTATTCTTTTTTAATATTTATTTTTCAGTTGTATTTGGACCCAATATATTTATTTATTTATTTTTATGTGGTGCTGAGGATTGAACCCAGTGCCTTGCACATGCTAGGGGAGCGCTCTACCGCTGAGCCACAACCCAGCCCCATAGGTAAGGTATTCTTAACAGAGGACCACAGAGACCCCCCAGAATTAAGAATGTCTGTAAACTTGAACAGGAAAAAAAAAAAAAACTTGTCTCCACGATATTCAAGCTAAAATTTAGCATCTCCTTTCAACATGAATGTGGACAAAAAAACA